AAAAATGTCATTAGAAGAGGCGTAACACGTCAGTCCGTCCCCAGGTTTGTGTTTCCTGGAGTGGCAGAAAGAGATCAGTCCTAACCTGCCCAGCAGGAATAACGGTCCTTCCGACAACTCTTTGCGAGGCTTTTACAATTTCTCCAGGAGCTGCATCTCCCTTCACCTTTTCTCCTCCACTTCGCGGCTTCTTCATGCTTTTTCTTCTCACCATTTCTGGCCAAAACTACAAACAAGACTTCGCAGGTAGGTTCAGAATTTAATTCCATTTTCATTCCTTTTTAATATTTTTTTTTTTTTTCCCTCCCCTTCTTTTTTTTTTTTTTTTTTTTTTTCCTCACACCACCTCAAGCTCCAGCGGGCTCATTTAATTTCGGTATTATTTTTATTTTTTATTTTCAGCCTTTTACTTTCTTTCTGGCTTCTTCCTATTTGGGGCGAAATTCTCCCTTTTTCCACTCAAACCCGAAGGCGTTCGGGTGCAGCTCCAAAGAAGGACGAGCGGGTTGGGGGTTCGGGGCTGAGCCCCCCCGCCCCATTACCTGTCAGCCAGGTACAGGAGGTGCCTTTTGCACATCAGCTCCAAAAGTTTGAGTGCCAGGAAGGAGCATCGCCTTCCTGCATTCAAATATCTCCATTTCTCTGCCTCTCTTTGGGCAGCCTTTGCTCTTTTATTCGTAGCTTAGCCCCAAAGTTACTGTATACCTGTTCGTGCTGCAGCCCGGCCGGGCGAGGATGTGTTTCCCCAAACAGAAAGTTTGCTGTTTTGTCTGCTTGCTCGCTTTCATTTCTTTCTTTTATTTCGCGGAGCTGGGTGAAGTAGCACCTTAGTTTCTGGGATCCTAAAGCAAGAAGTGAAAGTAGTGACTGGAACTTAAAAGTCGTTTACCAAAAAGCATTGAAAAAATAATAAAATAATAAATAAATAGAAATAAAATGCGAGGCACTCCTCTGGGAAGGAAAGTGTTGTAGAGATGTGAGGGTTTCAAATCATGGACAACTTTTGGGGACAGGCTGAGGAGCAGGAGAGGCAGTGAAATGCATTTAAAACAATTCAACCCTGCTCGTTTTGCATGTAAACGCCAATTGCCGAGGCAGGCTCGGAGCCCGCTCGGTCCCTGTCCTCGCACTGCTGCAGCTTTGCACGGGGATGCCAGCATTGCCCCTCCAGCAGCGGGGTTAGTAGCAAATATTAAAGTTTGGAGCACATTTCTCAGCCTCATCCATCCACAGGGTGATTTCTCTCCTTGCCCAAGAGGAATCTTTCTCATAGAGCGTGAGGAACCACGCTGACCCCGCACGGGCACTCTATGGAGATCGCCGTCCCTTTACCTGCTCGGGACACGAGGGTTTGGGGACCGCAGAGGGTTGGGAAGAGTTGAGGCAAGGAGGAAGAAGCAGCAGCAACACGCTGCTCAGCTCAGCCCTGCTGGGAAGAGCCAGCAGAGTGAAAAGACACGAGGGAGGGGAAAAAAAAAAAAATTAGAAATAAAAATAATAATAATTAAAGGAAAAAGAAAACACTTGGCTGGAAGAAAAAAAAGAAAAAGCGTTCAGTCAAGGAATTATTAAAAAAAAAAATAATAATGTAAAAGTCCCAGTGTTGGGGAAGACAATAGATGAGAAGGCGAGAGGGGATCCTGCTCAGGAGAGCAAGGGTTAATTGCCCTTGTTTTACAGTTTGCATCTGTTACATCTTTTATAGCCCCTGTTTAAACTAATCCTCGAGTCAAAGCATCTTTAAAGCTACAGCATCTTCTGCGGGGCGGACCGAGCCTCGGCAGCGGGATGGCAGAACCAAATGCCGCTGTGACAGATAGGGCTCAGCACGCAACTCTGGGTCCCAAAGTTTACAAGTTAAAAAAAAAAAAAAAAAGAAAGAAGGAAAGAAAGAAAGAAAAAGAAAAGAAAAGAAAGAAAACAACACCGCGAGCTGAAAACTCTGACAGCGGTGGTTTTGATTTCTGTTTCTTTTCTGAGGGTGGGTGGGTGGAGGGGGGGGGGGGGGGAGAGAGAGAAAAAAAATGTCACTCTGAAGCTTTGTTTAAGCGAGGGGCAGGGGAAACCCTGAATATTGTCAAAGTGACTAAAAAGGTGACAGAGGTTTATAATTACACTGCTAGGGGGAGGGGAGCTCGGCGCTGCGCTCTGCCCCAGAAGGACGGGGAGAGCCATGTTTCCCTCGCTCCTATCACTTCGCCGGAGTGCACTTGGAGAGAAAAAAATAACAGGAGCGGCGGCAGGAGGGGAGAGGGATAGCGAGCAAGTTCTAATGTCACATTAAAGTACTTTTCGGAGGAAGCGGTCCGCCTAGCATTGAGTCAAGCAGCCTACTGTAAAAGCCGCGCATTCCCTCATACGGTCATGAGTTATGACTCACTGGAGATGTAATTCTTGTCTCCCTCCGATCTGCCTTGCTGGTGCAACACACGCACACGCATCCCCGCGCGCACCCCCCCGGCAGCGCACACACACACACACACACGCACACACGCACACACAAACACGCGCACGGAGCGCGCAGCGCGCACCGCGATCCCTAAAGCGGGCGCGGAGCGGAGCCGCCCGGCTGGGAGAGAGGGGGGGAACGCGCAGCTCCGTGTCCCACCTCCCCCAGCACGGCAAAGCGTCGCCGTGTGCGTGGATGGGTTCTTTTTCGGGTGCAAATTCGGGTCCCCGTTGGCGCCCTGCGTTTAAATGGGATATACCAATGCCCACATTGTCGCTGTGTTTGGTTGTTACATAGAGTCTGCGTGCTGCTGAATCAGGGAGTCGAGTCCATGCGAACTGCCATCTGATCCACTCTTATCAATGAAGCAGCAGATCATGGCGGATGGCCCCAGGTGTAAGAGGCGAAAACAAGCCAACCCCCGGAGGAAAAACGGTAAGCGGCCCCCCCCGAGCAAACTTTTTTTTTCCCGGCCGGCGGCGGGGGGAGGCCGGCGCTCGGCGCGCTGCTGCGGCTCCGGCCCCGCGCGGAGCGTCCCGCGGAAGCTGCGCGGCCCGCGGAGAGGCTGCGGGGCCGGAGGCTGAGGGGGGAGAGCGGGGAGAGGGGTGGCGGGAGCGCGGAACGGAGCGGAGCTGCCCGCGGCGCCGCTCCCCAAACTTTGTCGAGCGGGTGCGGAACGCGGCGGAGGAGCGCGGCCGGGAGGAGGAGGCCCGCGGGGCCGGGAGCGGTCGGGGCCGTGCGACGGAGGGTGCGGAGCGGGGGGCGGGGGGGCGGCCGGGCAGCTGCCGGCCATGGGAAAAAGCGGCAGCGTGAGAATCCCGAGGCACCGAGTTAGCGCCTCTCTGCTTCTTTTTTTTTTCTTTCTTTCTTTTTTCTTTTTTTTTTTTTTTCTTTCTTTTTTTTTTCTTTTTAAATTATTGTTAGAGACTCGAAAATGAAACTTCCTCCACCCTAATAATTAATAGCCCCCTCGAGCTGAGTGCCCGGGGTTACCCTCTCCCCGCACTCCGCGGCCGCGCAGGGCCGGGCTCAGCGGGACGCGCTGCCCCGTTCGGCTTCCCTTTCGGGTCTCCCTCGGCCCGAACCCCCCGACTTCTTCCTATTCCCCCCCCATCCCGGCCGCACCCCCCGGCCCCTCTCCCACCAACTTTCCTCCTTCAGAGGAGGCACTGCTGAACCTGAACCCGTTCGCTCCGATCTCAGCGACTTCGCCCCGAGTGCGGAGGTGGGGGCGGGAGGGGGGGGTCGGACGGAGGGGGGGTGGGGGGGGGGGGCAACAACAACAACAACAACAACCCCAAAACAAAGACAAGAGAATGTTGATTAGAAACAAATGATCCTTCCTCCCCCTTCCCCTCGCCTTCCCTTCCCTCTCTCGAGGTTGCGAGTGTGTGTGCGTGTGTGTGTGTGTGTGTCTTTTTCTTGTTGTGGTGGAGGCGTCGAGCCATATGGGGGAGTGATAGAGGAATTTTAGTCAGAAACTGTTCGCTGTGTTACACTGGCTTTTCCCTTTGTGTTGTCTTTGATCTATTTGCTTGGCTTAGTATTACAAAAAAAAAAAAAAAAAAAAAAAAAAGAGAGAAGCCAACTAAAATAATATATTCCGAGCGGCTTCCCAAGGATCCGCTCCCTGTTATCTTTTTTTAAAGTCTCCCCCCTCCGCCGCCACCCTTTCCTCTCGTGTCTGTCATTATTTAAGGTGGTCCTCGCAGAGGAGACCTCCCCTTCCCCTCATCTCTGGGTAATTTAGGAGACATTAAAATTACACGTAATGTTTCCCTCTCCTCTCTTGTGTTTCCTCTGTTCTTTTTATTAAATGTTGGTTATTGATTTTCTGAAATCAATGTCTGTTGTGGGGCTTTTTTCCCCTTACAAGTAGCTAAAGCACGTTGCTGATCAACTGGATAACAAAAGCTTTGTGTCAAGTAGCCTTTTTTCTTATGTTAAACAGTCATTTTTTGGAGAGAAAAAAGAGAGCGAGATTTCAAGCGACGCATCCAGAAGTGCTCTTTCGCACTAAAGAATATTCTAAGTGTTTGATGGGGGGTTTATTCCGCTTCCTTCCCCTCCTCGCTTTTTAACACGAGATTATTACTTTAGCGTGTTAAACCCATCACATGCTCAGAGCAGAGGGATGCGCCCGTGCCTTCCTCGCTTCCCCAACGGGAGCCGAGACGCGAAACAGACGCAGAGAAGCGGACGGCCCCGTTGGGTCCCCACACCCCTCATTGGGGACAACGGCCCGGGACACCACGGCCCGCCTTTCCGTCCGAGATGTTTCTCTCTTCTCCCCAAAGTCGTGAGCCCAAACTTTCCTCGTTCTTTAGAAGGCTGAAAGCTTCCGCCAACTTTAACCCAAGCTCCGGGCACTGCGAGAACTGAGGCTGTTCCTGCAGTGTGCCCGGCCCAGGCAGGGCAATGCTCCCCTCTTTGTCTGTCCCTTCTGTCCTCTTTGTGCTCCGTCCTTCGGTCCTTCCATTTATTTCTGAGTGGGAAATGCCCCAGGTCTGGGAAGCAGGTAGGCGAGACAGGCTGTGTTGGTTTATTCCCATTTTTCCTTTATTTTTCTTCCTCTTTTTTTTTCTTCTTCCTCCCCCCCCCCCCCCCCCCCCCCCCCCCTCCCAACCCCCCCTCCCATTTTCTCTTTCTCGACAAGCACATGCCCAGAGCCTTTCCCGTGGGGAATAGCCCAGGATTTATCTGGCCTGAGTGGATTTTTCTCCTTTCCCGGATTCGTGGAAAAGATGTCACTTCTGAGCTCGTGTCTTTGCTGATAACACTCCAAACGGTGATGCTTATCGAAATCAGCCCGAAATTCCTTAGAAACGAGGCAGAACCCAACTCAAATTAAAAACCCACCAAAAAAAAAAAAAAAATAGAGAGAGAGAGAGAGAGAGAGAGAGAGAGAGAGATGGCCATCGGGGAAGCCGGAGCAGTGGGAGTGCAATCACATAGAAATGATGTGTGTGTGTGTGTGGGGAGGGGGGTGAGGGGGGAGGACACATCAGAATAAGGCAACTAATGGCTCAGCGCGGCGTGCGCCCGGTGCGCGCGTGTGTGCGGGGCTGGGGAAGGGATGCGGAGCGGTGCGGCTGAGCTGCGGCTCGGGGCAGAGGGGGAGCGGCAGAGGTTTTGGGAAGTGGAGTCTTGCGGGAGGAAAGGAACCCAAAGCGGGGCTGGGGTACGCGGAGAGGAGAGCCCAGGAATGCGGCGGGGCTGCGGGAAGTTCGGTCAGATGATTGCCGGCGCCTGACTCACTTCGTAGCACTTTCACTGGGGAGAAGTAGCGGCACGGGACGAGGAGGAGGAGGAAAAGGAGGAGGAGGAGGGGGCACGGGTGGAGATGGAGGAGGAGGAGGAAGGCAGAGAGCCCCTTTCTGCCCCGCACCTCACGGGCGCCCCGTAGAGGTGGGGCTGCGCGGAGCGGTGCGGAGCGGTGCGGAGCGGCCCCCGCCGTCCGCGGGCCCCGGGCGTTGAGCGGCTCCGCTCCCTCCTCCTTAGCGGGGCTGCTTTGTTCCACCCCCCTTCCCCCCCCCCCCTCCCTCCTCCGGCCCCGGCTAAAATAAAATAAAATCAAATCCCGAGGAAAATGGGGGTGGGGGAAAGGAAAAAGTTGGCCCTGATTTCCTCCAAACTTTCAGCAAACAGCTCCCTTTGATTCCATTGCCATCTCGCTTCCAGTTGTAAAGAAAAGAGAGAAAGTTCAATTCTTTCAGGGCGCCTGATCCGAGGGGAAGCGCAGCCCAAACACGATTACACTCGCTCAGAGTCCTCACCAAAAAGACTCCCACCCACCCTTCCTCTCTGCTGGGAAAGGGGGGAAAACCTTCGCTTCCCACTCGAACGAGAGCAGAAAGCAGCTTGTTTGTGGTGGAAAGTGAGGCTCTGCCCTGCATGGGGAAGTTTGAGGGCACCCGATAGGGTTGTGGGGTGAGCAGGGGGTTGTGATGGGTGACATGCAGGTGGCACACGCTGGGGTGGGCATCTGGGAGCACTCCTGTACCCGGGTTCCTCTGCAGCGCTGTGAATCCGTTGCGAGCAGATTGCTACCAGAGCGGCTGCTCGGGTGGGAGAAAAATGTGCAACCTCGAGGAAAGCACCTGGAAATAGGTATTACAAATGGATGAGGTCCATGAGAGCGACTGGGGAGTGAGGGGTGTCGGTTAGGTTCCTCTGTGCGGATCCATGGGAGCGAGCTGTGGCAGGGCTGTGTGCCGTGCCAGGGCTCAGCTGTTTGTTTGATGGTGAATTTGGAGGAAAGCGGTGGATTTGGAGACGAGTGTCTGGTTTTTGCCATTCGCGACCATTCCGTGCTTGCTGAGTTGTGTGCACACGCTTCACCAGGAAACTTTTGGGGGAATTTCTGGTTGCTGCAAGAAAATACGTTTGGTGCCGGGGAAAAGACGGATCTGAAAATTAAGAAAGGGAAGGGGGGAAAAAAAAAAAGAAAAAAAAAGAAAAAAAAAAAAAGAAAGAAGGAAACAATTACAAGTTAATTATTGATAACTATAAAGCCAGCTGCCCAAGGAGGGGAAATATCAGGGAGATGGAGATGAGAGCTCTCAGGACAGGCTGGTAATGTCCCCCAAGAAAAATGTGTGTCCCTTTAGAGTGGGAAGAAGGGTGTTGATCCTTTTACAGCAGCCCCACATTCATTCCAAGAAATAGGAAATTCTTTGCCTCACAACACTTTTTGGCATCTGCATTATCCCAGTGCTTTTAAGGTGCATTTTCTCCTCTGTGAAAGAGAACTCTTTGTCCTTTTTTTTTTCCCCCAAGACCATGGCTTCCCAAGGTAGACACTATTTTGTGCCTGTCACACAGAAAGGGAGTGCAGGTTTGCAGTGCTCACAGACAATTGATTGTCTGCCCTAATGTGTTTCATTTACATGTTTATAACGTCAATAGTGCTGGGGTGTCCACTGTACCATTCATTCCAGCATTCCCACAAGGGTGCAATTGTCTGAATGGCCAAGTCAGACACCTTTTTGATTGCTCTTTAGTTGTCTTTTTAGAGTAAGGAGAAAAAGGAGAGAAATCCGCGCTGCAGAAACACTAGTTGAAAATATCTTAGAATTAAACGTCACCATTAAAGCAGATGTGAGCATTAGACAAGCCATATATTTTAACTAAGGCTCTGGAGGTGTAAACAAATCCAGAGCAGAGGAGATGCTTGCCGCTGCTGAATTTTTCAGCCTTTTTATTGTTTTTTTTTTTTTGTTTTTGCTGTTGAGTGGTTTTCATTTTCCACGAGTGCAGCCACCTCCTAACTCTGTATGCTTAGCTGCAGTTTGTGATTTCTTTCTATATATTCACGTGCCTGTGTTTATGCCAGCAGCGTCAGCAAGCTGCTTGGAAAGCCTATGGAGGGGATATTTAGGCTGTGAGGAGCACGCACTCAAAAATATATATATGTATAAATAAGGGAAGGAAGGAAGGAAGGAAGGTGCAGCTATTCCTTGATCAAGCAAGTTTAATGAAAATAAAAGGACAAAGCCTCTCCTCCTCGAGGCGGTGTAACTTCCATAGCTGTGCACCAACTTCGCGCGCTGCGTCGCCGGCCTCGTGGGCTGCGAGAGCTCTGCAAAGTGTTCCTGGGAGTTCCAAAGTCAATAGGAGATCACCCTGGGAGGTGTGCTGTGTGCTGCTGCGATGTGCCACGCTGCTTTATCGTGGAAGGAGGGAGGTGAGGGATGATTATCGCCCGTGTGTTGTATGGCAGAAGTAAGCCTCGCAGCTTATGGAGAGCTGGTGGATGTAGCCATGCGTGCGCGCACACCTCTGTGTGCGTGGAGAGGGTGCCCGTGTGCATGCACACAGACAGGGCACCTAAATACAACTGTGCACATTCCAGATGAGTGCATTTCCCCCTAAAAATGACTCTGATCCCAAGAGCTGCAATGAATGCATGTGGACCCGTTCCGTGCCCGCTCTGTCAGGGACGGAGCACCAAGTGGCTCCTGCTCGGGAGGCACAGCAAAGGAAAAGTTGGTGTTTTGTTTTCCTCCTCTCCCTATAATTTTTGTTGTAATTTAAAAATAATAATAAGAAGCCTGTTTGTGGAAAGGTTTTTGTTTTTTTTTTTTTCTTTTTTTTTTTCTTTTTTTTCTTTCTTTTTTTGTGCCTAACAGGGAAGACACACACAGTAGATGCACCGTTAGCTGAACCCCTGACACGGCGGTCTTTTGAATGCCTTAGGTATGATTTCACTTTCGCTCACATCAATGCTGACCTGAATGCCTTTCATATCTGATCCGCTGTGTCTCTCCCAGTAAACATCCCCTGAGGGGAGAACAAAGAAAGGAGCTCTTCTTCTTCTTAATCACAATTCAGCCCATTCACCGCCGGCAGGCTACATTTGCATTCTGCAACAGAAAGCCAAGATGAAAAGAAAAAAAAAAGAGAGTGAGAAGAGGGGGGAAAAAGCAGAAGGGTGGAGGCTGAGTAAAATAACTTAGGTGTTTGTAGCTGTTTGTTGGGCTTCCCCTAGTTACAAGCCTTATATAGATCCTGCTCTACCCAGCCTTGGCTCTTCTGACAGGCAGATAGTGTTACAAGATGGCATGCCTGTACTATTCATGGCCACTCGCTCTAACACTTGAGGTAGAAAGTGTCAGAGAGGGATCAAATTCTACTCGGAGAAGTCTGTTATACTTAGGGTCAGGTGTGTGTACTCTCAGCTCTTGACTGCTGCCTATTATTTTGTTTTAATTACTATTATTGTTTACTCACCGTGACCTTGGGGAGCGGGGGGCCAGGCGATCTCGGCCACCCCCGGCGAGCAGCTCGGTGCCGAGAAATCGCCCTTTTCCCTCATTTTTGGGGGGAGCTCCGACGCTTTTCCCCCTTCCCAGTGAGGATGCTGCGGGCTGGGATCCTCGGGCACGGGGAAAAGCAGCGGCTCCGCGGCCGCAGGAGGAGGAGGAGAAGAGGAAGGCGGATCGGTGGAACTTTCTCCAGCCCGTCTCCCTCGTGGCTTCCCCCAGTCACGTCCATGGGCACTTTCCGGTCGCCCCCCCCCCCCCCCCTCCCCAGATTTGTCTGTTTGTTTGTTCTCCTGAAGCTCTTCAGCGCTTTTAAGTAAGACAGTTCTGGGGGGGGGGGGGGAAAAAAAAAGAAGAAAAAAAGAAAAAAAAGAAAAAAAATGGCGAGGTCTTTGGTCGCAGCCACTTTTTCTCACCAAGAGGAGGTTTATTTATAACCGGATCCTGCTTACTGAGAAGTATTTAAGCCCTTTCAGGCAGAGCTGTCAAAATTTCCTGTGTTGTTTGCCTCTATTTGCAATATGCACAAAGTAATACGCAGTGCTGGTTTTGGAAGAACCGGAGCGGCGTGGAGATCTCAAGTGACAACTTTGCAGCTCCGCTATCTCCTGCCGACCAAATTGACATTTGCATCCAGAAACCACTTTTTAAGACCCTCACAGTTTTGGTTCGATTCTCCCCTTGACCCCCTCCAATAGATTAAATGTGCCTAAAGGCACTTGGGGAGGGCAGGGCTGTGCAATGCAGGCGGTGGGATGTCGCGTTTCCCCGTCGCTCCATGGCAGAT